AAATTAGTTTACCAAATTTAGGTTCTTCAAAAGCTACAAATTTTTAGTTTAGTTTCAGCTTGTACCCCTCTACAAGCTGAAATCAGCTGGCCTGAGGAGCAGTTTTAAGAATACTAATGATTTGCCATTAATTTCTTCTCTTCTTTTATTTTTTGGGTAGCAGCTCGATGAAAATTTGGAGCAGTGGCCTCATCTGAACGAACTGCTTCAGTGCTACACGAGTGAGTGGGTGAAAGATGAGAGCAAGTATGGGCATTATGAAAGTGTTAGTCCTCCTCACTTTCACAATCAAATATTTGAGGGGCCCGATACTGATATCGAGACTGGTAAAATTTTGTTCATCTGCTTTTGATTTGATTTGATTTGATTCCAAGAGCATTGACATTTTGTTAACCATTTAATCTATTTTTCATGTCAAATTTCTGCAGAAATGAACCTTGCAAATGCAAGGCGAACCAAGGGTGAAGATGCCACTGATGATGACACCCCAAGTACCTCTGGACGCCAATTTGCAGACTCTCATGTTTCTCAGGTTTTGCTCTTTAACTTTTTTATCTGGCTATTTGTTTTATTTGTTTATGTATTAATTATTTTGAGGTGTTGATTTCTCTCTTTTTCCCCCTTAATTTTAATGACATGTTTAGCGTTTTGGCCAATCTCCCCTACCTGCTTATGAACCAGCTTTCGACTGGGAAAATGAGAGGTCAATGATATTTGGCCAGAGGACTCCAGAGAACCCTGTGGTACACCATGGCAGGTTCAGAATCTTGATCCTTGCTAAAATTATGTTGAGATTTATTTGTTTGCTTTAGATCAATCTCTCACAGTCTATGATATCTTGTCTGTTGGGATTGGTGGCCTTAGTGGATTGAAGATCTCTGTGAAAGTTCTGTCCCTTACGTTTCAAGCTGGAATTGTTGGTTAGTATTCTTTCCCTGTTATCCACAAGCTGCTGCATCTTTATAATGTTCAGATACTGCTTTATTTCATTATTTTTTGCACTTTTAAGATTTCTCACCTAGTTCCCTCTATTTCTCTCAGAGCCATTCTATGGTACAATTTGCTTATACAATAGGGAGAGAAGAGAAAAATTGTCAGAAGATTTCTATTTTAGCATTCTACCAACTGAGATGCAGGATGTAAGCCTTAAAACTAAGTTAGCATTAAATTCTTTGGTGCTTTGGTTTTTCATATTGATGACTTGAAAATCCACTCTTTCTCATTTACCTGGACAGACTAATAAAGTATCTTCAGAACCTCGTGGACTTTTCTATTTAGATGCTCTGTCCGCATCTGTGTGTCTACTAATCCAATTAGAGAAGCCTGCAACAGAAGAAGGGGGAGTGAGTCCTTCTGTTTATTCACGTAAAGAACCTGTATGTATGAAGAACTTATATGTCTCCATCTTTTTCATCTTCAATCCAACCTCTGTTTAAATGTGACAAAATTTCTCTTTTGTTGGCTTGCTTGTTGCCTGGCAGCAAGAATTTTACCTGTTGGCTTGCTTGTTACCTGGCAGCAAGAATTTTACCTGTTGGCTTGCTTGTTATCTGGCAGCAAAGTTTTAACTGTCACCCCCTCATCATCTGTCTTTCAGTTGGTTTTTAGTGTAGTTCTTACCGTGGAAAATAATGGCTCTGCATCTGCTATATAAGTTAGCTAATCACTGTCATCGCAATTAATCCTTGATATTTTAGTTTTTGGCCCAGGGTGATTAACTATTGGCTGAGATGGTGGACCATTTGGTCTTTCTCTTTCTGCAAGATAATTGTGAAATTAGTAATTCTTCAATGGATTTTCATCCATATTCATTCATCTATGCTCCTACTGCTACATATTAGCATACTTTCTTTTATCTATGCTTCTTTGCAAATTATAAATGTCTTCTGTTTTGCTTGCATTGATCCTTTTGCTGCACTAATGTTGTGGATCAAATGATTATGAATTTGTTACTCATAGGTGATTAGAATTCAATGTTTTGGTACCTCTAGTAGGAAGGGATGTTTATTTCCCAGAAATATTAATCGATTGGAGTTTGGTGAATGTTGACATTTTAAAAGATGAGAGAAAGCAAAGCACTAAAAAAACCTGGTGATGCAGCTGTTGTGCATTTGAACTTACATTGTTACAT